ACAGTGGGAGGGACTTCTGTAATTGCCACACCCTGATGAAATGAGGGAGGCGTGGCCTGTGTTGCTGGGTAACCGGTTCCATCTATAGCGATGTGTCACAGGGGGAGGAGATTCGGGAGTGAGGGATTCTGGGATTGCTTACAATGCTTCCTGTCAGTCCTCCCAGAATCCTTCACTCTGACATCACATGACAGGAAGCCGGAGTTACCCTCAGATTGGAATGTAGTCACCCCGGGGGGCGGGGGGAGAATCTGGGGCGAGCGCCCCTGAGGGGATTTCTCTCACTTTGGGGATATTTCCTCTTACGTCTCCACAACAGGAAGTGAAGGGAAATCTCCCCGCAGGGGGTCACCATAGATATCCAGAGGAGAAACAATGTTAGCAGCGGGCGGCCTCAGATGGCTGACAGCGGGCGGCCTCTCATGGAGCAGCCTTCAGATGGCTGACAGCGGGCGGCCTCTCATGGAGCAGGCTTCAGATGGCTGACAGCGGGCGGCCTCTCATGGAGCAGGCTTCAGATGGCTGACAGCGGGCGGCCTCTCATTGTCTCTCCTGCACTTTGTACAATCTTGTCATTATCTCATTGCATCGGTAGGGAGCAGACTGGTGCGCACACAGCTGGGAGGAGCCATCTCATTGCACCGGTAGGGAGCAGACTGGTGCACACACAGCAGGGTGGAGCCATCTCATTGCACCGGTAGGGAGCAGACTGGTGCGCACACAGCAGGGTGGAGCCATCTCATTGCATCGGTAGGGAGCAGACTGGTGCGCACACAGCAGGGTGGAGCCATCTCATTGCATCAGTAGGGAGCAGATTGGTGTGCACACAGCTGGGTGGAGCCATCTCATTGCATCGGTAGGGAGCAGACTGGTGCGCACACAGCAGGGTGGAGCCATCTCATTGCATCGGTAGGGAGCAGACTAGTGCGCACACAGCTGGGAGGAGCCATCTCATTGCATCAGTAGGGAGCAGACTGGTGTGCACACAGCTGGGTGGAGCCATCTCATTGCATCGGTAGGGAGCAGACTGGTGCGCACACAGCAGGGTGGAGCCATCTCATTGCATCGGTAGGGAGCAGACTAGTGCGCACACAGCTGGGAGGAGCCATCTCATTGCATCAGTAGGGAGCAGACTGGTGTGCACACAGCTGGGTGGAGCCATCTCATTGCATCGGTAGGGAGCAGACTGGTGCGCACACAGCAGGGTGGAGCCATCTCATTGCATCGGTAGGGAGCAGACTAGTGCGCACACAGCTGGGAGGAGCCATCTCATTGCATCAGTAGGGAGCAGACTGGTGTGCACACAG